TATAAAATGATATATTGTAAAATGGTGCAACAGTTAAATTTCCGTTTTTCATTATCTTATTTTATATATTTGCTCATTTGTATGTATCGCAGAAAGCATCGGTCTACTTGTCGCACCCTCTTACATTAGTTATAATGGGATAGCATATTCCAATCATTCAATGCTTCACCATGCCGCTTAAGCGCGATTTTCATCTTTGCAAACTAGGCTTTCTACAGTTTTTGTTCTGGTTTAATTTTTGCTTGTATGCCTCGTCACAATTGCTCTGTCGGTGTGATGAAGCAAGCATGGTCCAAACGGATTGTAGAACGAGGACATGGCCAACACAGTGTCCCGGTTAGCGACTCAAATGACATGCGCTCGGCCGCCGAGCAACAGAGTCAGTGCCAATTGCAGAGGCTCACTGAAACCGGTTTTATTTCCTTCCAGGCCAGATAAAATACAGTATCGCCCGAGAAAAACCGGTTCGTGGACAGACTTGAGGCCGGTAATGACAGAAAGAGCCATAGTGAGGCAGGCCAAGTCAAAATGTTCCCCTTTGTCGGTTCACATGGGGACTAGAGAAGGGAGCAGAAGAGGCATATTCTCCCAGTTGGGAGGGCTGGCCGGTAGAGAAACAGGCGCCCAGTGGGCGAACCTTAAGCCCGCTTGTATGCTCTCCTTTTATTGCATCATAAGTTGCCTTTTCCGACCCACACCCCAACAAGCCAAGACGCCAGAGGCAATTTAATTTAATTGGTACCTATCCGGATCAAAAATCCAAGCACAAATAGGGGGGGTAATACACGGATGATAATGTCGATTAATTCTTAAAGTAGCGCACACTTAATCCAATAAACTGATTAATCGCTTGAACAATATAATGGTAGAATAGATCCACTCAGAATGGCCAGATTTCTTGATGAATAGCCGCATGTGCAGTCAGATGATACGGACAGAGGCTATTCGTGACCCGCAGCTTTAGTCATGAAAGGAGGGGAATAACATAAATGAAAATTTATTTAAGAAGCCTCGGTTTTTTGGGTTGGCACCGCTTCCAGAAGACTTTTGTTAATTGTTGTAGTACTAGAGTTTCGTCTATCTATCTATCTATCTATCTATCTATCTATCTATCTATCTATCTATCTATCTATCTATCTATCTA